ATGACAAGTTAAGGAGTCTATTGATCTGGGAGGCAATTGAATGAAAGAATGAATGAATAAAGCATTTACTAAATTTTTACTATATGCAAAGCACCCTACTGGGGATACAAATAGAAGACAGTTTCTGCCCTTAAGGGGCTTGCATTTTAATGGGGGAGAAAATACATATGCAAGGTTTCAGCTGCAAAGTCAAATAGAAAAGTCACAGAGGCAGCTAAGTGGCACAGTGGATGGCAAATCTGCTCTAGAAGCAGGAAGACCTGAGTTCAAATGTGACCTCAGACACTTCCTAGCTATGTGACTCTGGGCAAGTCATTTAACTCCAATTGCCTCAAAAAAAAAAAATACACAGTCCTTAGGGGACAGCACCAAAGTAGATGGGGATACCTCTTCTTTCATGTCATTTCCACTGGTAAGATCATACCAGTTTCTGATGTTGAACTGTTTGACAGTGACAAAGAACTTGGTGACAAGAACTTTCTCTCAGAGGTCTTCAGTAGCTGTGTCTGCAGCCCCTGCAGGAATAGTAGTTACCAGGCTGCATCTCCACAAGGCCTGTTTCCCAGGATTATGGGTGGGGGCTATGGGCTGGAAGTGTTTCCATTTCCAAGGCTTTTGGGTTCAGAGTCCTGAGCGGTCTCCATCGGGATCTGAGGGGAAATGATGGCCAAAGTGGTCTGACTTGCCTGGTTTCTCTTCTTCAGGATGCCCTGATGCTTCAGCTAGGCTGGCCTGCCTGTGCTGTTGATGGCAACTAGTTGACAGTTGGTGGAGATGGCTGGCCAATTCGCCAGATGATGGATGCGTGGGTTGGGCTGGAACCAGGACTGGGGGGCCTCTCCCAGGGGCTCAGTGTCTGTCTGCCCATCTGATGGCAGTTGGTGAGCAATTGTGGCTGCCGGTGAAAAGGATGTTGGGCCCCTTGTCCACAATCATTTCTCCCCTAGTAAAGATGGCTGTGGGTGGGGATGGCTGTTTGGGCTTTGAAAGCTGTTGAGTATCGTGTTTAGAGCAGTTCATAAGGAAGATTATCCTGGCAGCTCTAGGAAAAGTAGATTGCTACGTGACCACCCTATCTCCCTTTCTCATCATCAGTATTCTTGGGCTTGATATAATCGGCACAATGCCATCCATACACAAGAACATCGGGCTTCACAATCTGTAGGATTCCTTTTTTGAGTTGGACTTTTCTCAGGCCATTCTACAAGATGCTAGCAACCACCTTTGTGTTAACTGTGTATCTCCATGTTTCGTGCCTCTTTTGACACTGATAGGGGATTATATAACGTCGTCATAGATTTAGAGCTGGAAGGGACCTCCGAGGCAGTCTATTCCAACCCCTTCATTTTACAGATGAGGAAAGTGAGGCTAAAAGGGTTCAAATGTCTTCCCTAAGATCACACAAGTAACGAATGTTGAAGGTGGGATTCAAATCCAAGTCCCCTGATTCCATAAAAAGTATTTCTATCATACAAAACCTATCAAGGAATAGTCCTAACAAAAATGTAGCACCTCCTCTACACCAACTCCCCAGAAAGGAAAGATAATATTTGCAAACCTTAAAGTGTTCTACAAGTATTAGCCATGATCATTATTGTCCCCATGTTGAAGGTAAGTCTATGGGTTTGAACATCCCAAAACTATTGGGCAGCTAGATAACTCAGTGGATAAGTCGCTGGGCCTGGAGTCAGGAAAACCTTAGTTGTAATTCAGCCTCTTACACACTTACTAGCTGTGTGACCTAGGACAAATCACTTAACCTCTGTTTGCCTCAGTTTGCTCATCTGTAAAATGGGGATAGTAGCACCTACCTCATAGATTTGTTGTGAGGGTCAAATGAGTTAATAATTGTAAAACAAGTCAGCTCTCAGTTTTCAGGGTTAGTTCCCTATCTAATACATAGCCAGCCAGCTCTCTTCTCTTCTGCCAGAGGTCATACTTCCTGAAGATACATCTCACCTGGAATGCTACTCATTTTTGTGTCTATGTCCCTATGGAGATTATGTGTCTCTAAACCCTTCTGGATGTATCTCCACTGTGCCTTGAACTTTTTTGAACTGGGTGTCTCCCAGACCATCTTGCTAATGGATGTGATGACTCCTATTTGGTGAGTAGCTCCAATGCAAAGTGCCATGGCTGGTGGAAAGAAGAGAGAAATCTCCTCTTCCTCAAGAGATGAAGAGCTATTTCCTTTAACGGACTGAGTCCCTTCTCAATCACTGCCTCTTACCTGGACTAACTACAGAGCTAACAAACTAGCTTTCTTTCTTTTTTTTTACTTTTTAAAAAAAAAATAACATTTTATTTTTTCCAATTACACATAAAGACACATTTTAACATTATTTTTTTTTTTAAATTAGGCAATTGGAGTTAAGTGACTTGCCCAGGGTCACACAACTAGTAAGCCTTCAGTGTTTGATCTGAGGCCGGATTTGAACTAGGTCCTCCTGACTTCAAGGCCGGTGCTCTATCCACTGTTCCACCTAGCTGCCCCCCATTTTAACTTTCATTTAAAAAAAATGTTGAGTTCCAAATTTTTCTCCCTCCCCCTTCACCAAGATGGCAAGCAATCTGATATAGGTTACATAGGTTATACATGTGCAATCATGTGAAAAACTTAGTCAAGTTGTGAAGGAAGAAACAGAATAAAATGGAAAAAAAAAAACACACACACAAAAAAACAAAAAATAGTGAAAATAGTATCCTTTGATCTGCATTCAGACTCCATAGTTCTCTGGACAGCATTTTCCATCCTGAGTCTTTTGGAATTGTCTTGGATCATTGCATTGCTGAGAAGAGCTAAGTCTGTCACAGTTGATCATCACACAATGTTGCTGTTACTATGTATAATGTTTTACTGGTTCTGCTTACTTCACTCAGCATCAGTTCATGTGAGTCTTTCCAGGTTTTTCTGAAATCTGCCTGCTCATCATTTCTTATGGAACAGTAGTATTCCATTATATTCATATAACACCACTTGTTCAGCCATTCTGAAATTGATGGGCATTCCCTCAGTTTCCATTTCTTTGCTACCACAAAAAAAGCTGCGATAAATATTTTTGTACATGTAGGTCCTTTGCCCTTTTTTATGTTCTCTTTGGGATATAGACCTTGAAGTGGTATTTCTGGATTAAACAGTATGCACAGTTTGATTACCCTCTGGGCATAGGTCCAAATTGCTGCCCAGAATGATTGGATTAGTTCGCCACTCCACCAACAATGCATTAGTGTCCCAATTTTCCCACAGCTCTAACATTTATCATTTTCCTTTTCGGTCATATTAACCAATCTGATAGGTGTGAGGTGGTACCTCAGAGTGGTTTTAATTTGCATTTCTCTAATCAATAGTGATTTAGAGCATTTTTTCATATGACTACAAATAGCTTTAATGTAAAAACTGCCTGTTCATATCCTTTGACCATTTGGTCAATTGAGGAATGACTTACATTCTTATAAATTTTACTCAATTCTCTATATATTTGAGAAATGAGGCTTTTTTCAGAAACACTTGCTGTAAAAATTATTTCCCAACTTTCTGACAAGCTAGCTTTCTAAGGGCCACCAGAAGCATGGCCTGTCTTTAAGCAGTCAATAGCCATTTCCCCTTTTAATTCAATTAAGGAATTTTTCCACACATTATAAAGGGATACAAGGATAGGTTTATCTTTACACTTAGTTTATCACCTCAGTATCTTGTAATTACATCCAGAAGGGAAACCAATTCTCTCCCCTAATTGCATGTGAAAAGGAGCCTTGTTGGGAGAGAGATCTTAAAGTTGAATTTTGTTCTATAAAATAAAATGCTTTTAAAATCAACAAATATAAACACAATGGGGAGTTGTACTCTCTATACCTTTTAGTCAATTGTAGAACAGTAAAAATAAGGTCTGGTTACAAAATTGTCTACAAAAACCTGCATGAAACAGATTAAAAACTAATTGGAGACTAAACAACCTAACAATTGGTATGTAATTTTAAAAAAAGCAAACTAGAAAATGAACAGATTAAAAATCCCCAATTAAACACCAAATTGAAAAGCTTAAAAATTAAAGGTATAGTTAATAAAATTGAGTATAAGAAAACCATTGAATTAACAAATAAAACTCGGAGTTGGTTTTATGAAAAAAAACAACAACAACAATAAAATAGACATGTAAAGGGTGAATATACCACTAGTGAAGATGAAATCAAAGTAATTATAAGGAGTATGTTGCCCAATTATATGCCAATAAAGTTAACAATTTAAATGAAATGGAAGAATATTTACAAAAATGTAAACTATCTAGATTAACATAAGAGGAAACAAAATATTTAAATAAACCTATTTTAGAAAAGGGAATTGAACAGGTCATAAATGAGCTTCCTAAGAAAAAAGTATCAGGATCAGATGGATTTACAAGTGAATTTTACCACATTTTAAAGATCAACTAATGTCAAATCAACTATAAGGGACCTATGAAGGAAGATGTTATCCATACCTAGAGAAAGAACTGATAAATAGAAGTATGTATAGTATTGTTTCACATATGTGTGCATATATACATATATATATATATATGTATATATGCCTAATGACCGCCTTCTCTCAGATGGGGAGGGAGGAAGAAAAAAAATAAGTGTACATCAGAGAACAAAAAAAAAAAAATTTAGGAGCCAAGAAAAGCAGGGTAATTTTGAAAATGTGTAGTATTTATTACATACTTTTTCAAAAAAGCAAACAGTGTGAAATGGCAATTTATGTTTTTATATTGAATCCTCTTCTTATGTTGTGCTGTGTACACGGGAATATTTTGGGTTTTCTTTGTCTTTTTGTATTTAAGTTCTAAATGAATACAATTAAAAAAAAAAAACAACCTGCCTAGATTACCCTAACCAACTGCCTTCTCTGTTTCCACTTTTGCTAGAATAATTGAATTGGAAAGAACCTTTAGAGATCATCTAGTTCAAATCCCTCATTTTACAGATAAGGAACTAAGTTGCAGAAAAGTTAAGTGACTTACCTGGGATCACCCAGATGCAGCCAAACTACTCCAAATTCAGTATATTTTTCTGCCCCAATTTCTACCTTCTCTCAACTGCTACTAAATGCTCTGTAGAAAGGATGAGGAGTGAAAGTGATGCAAAAAAAGGGGGCATTAATGAATCATTTAAAAAATACACAGAACAAAGCAGAAGGATGTTCAGGAAGGGAAACAGAAAAGCAGAACAGTTTTATAACTGTCATTAAATTCAATATATACATAAAAACAAGCCACGTAATAGAAGTTCATAGTTTCTTATGAAATCCTCTTTTTCTATTATTTTGTATATTGAAATGTTCATGCTTTACTTTTTTCATTTTATTTTCCTTCCTTTTTCCTGTTTGTTTATTTTTGCAACATGTCTAATATGGAAATATGTTTTGCATGACTTCACATGTATAATTGATATCACATTGCTTGCTTTCTCAGTGGGTGGGAGAGAGGGAGAGAATTTGGAACTCAAAATTTAAAAAAATAAATCGAGTTTTGAAAAAAAGAAATGTTCTTGCTTGATATTTTTCAAGCTCATAGTTTTAAAAATTAAAATTTTAAAAGGTCAAACAATAGGACTGGGTCCAGTAAAATATATACTTTTTCATATCAGCTGGTCCCCAAGGCATGGCATTCTTTTCATACTTCCTGGCTCCCTGTAGCAACTATTCTAAACCTTCTTTTCTCTCAAGCCCCCTGTGCCACCCCCTCCGACCAACTTCCCTCCTCGATCTTAGCAGGGGACCTTTGCCACTTCTTTTTACTGACAAAATCAAGTTCATCCACTGTGAACTCCGTGTTCTCCTTTACTCGCCACCATAAAGTCCCTCTGTTCTCTATTCTCTCCTTTCTTAGTTCCAAGGCTCTGAGAAAGAAGTAGCCTTTTTCCTTGCCATGGCGAATCCCTCTACTTTTACCCTTGATCAGAAAGTCTCTCTCTCTCTCTCTCTTCTAGGACCTTCCTCTTTAAACATTTCCTCTCCTTTTCTCCTCTCCTACCTACTTGCTTCTCATCTCTGCTGCCAACAAACATGCCCAACTCAACCTTGTCCTTATATAATATTCATTTGGACCTACCATCCCCGCTAAGCTATAGCTCTCTTGCTTTCCCCTGCCGAGCTGCTAGGGGGAAAAAAAAAAAAAAAAAAAGGTCTGCATTCCATACCTATATTTCCTCTCTTCCCATTTACTTAACCCCTTGAAGCCTGATCTCTGACTAAACTGCTTTCAAAGCTTATCCAGGTGGTTCCTCCTATTGGTTCTAATTCCTACCTACAACATCACTAATGTGAAAATATGTTTAATAGGAATGTATATGTATAGCCTATATCAGATTGTGCACTGTCTTGGGGAGGAAGGTGGGGAGGGAGGGGGACAAAAATTTAAAACTCAAAAGCTTATGGAAGCAATTGTCAATAATTCAAAATAAACTAATTTTAAAAATTAAAAAAAAAAAAAGCTTATCAAGAAACTCCTCTTAGCTGCTAAATCTGCTGACCTCCCTGCAGTTTTTCATCACCACTGACCACAGCCTCCTCATAGGTGACCCCTTACCTCCCTTAGGTCTGTGTGTATGGAACACAGATTGGAGCAGTCTCATCATCGACATCTCACCCCTTCGGTGCAGGTGTCTCTCACAGTGTCTAGCGTGGGCTCTCCACCTCCTCTATGTTCTGTTCCTCCATGATCTCATCTGTTTCTACGAATTCAATGGTCATCTCTATCTTAATGACTCCCAAATGTATAAAAATCCAGCCCTAATCTGTCTTCTGAACTCCCACCGATGGACAACTTCATACCTGGATGTCCCAGTGGCACATCAAACTCAACATGCCCAAAAACAGACCTCATTTTTCCTCCTAAACCAACCCCTCCTTCAAATTTTCCTATTTCTGTTGAGGACAGAGGTCTGCCCCCCCCTCCAGTTGTCTAGGTTTAGAACCTTGGCGTCATCCTTGACTCTCTCCATCACCTCACATATCCAATTAATTTCCCAGTCTAATTGATTCTCCTTTCCTAACAGTTCTCATACACAACCTTTTCTCTCTGCTTACACAGTTACATCACTCCCATTAACTCTTGCAATAACCACCCAGTTGCCCTCCCTTCTTCTGGTCTCTCTCTTCTCCAGTCTGTCCACAAGCAACAAAATCATCTTCCTAAGGCACACAGGTCTGACAATATAATTTCCCTGCTCACAATGATTCAGTGCTTGGTTGTTGCTGTTTTTATAACAAACTCTTCAGCCTCACATTTTAGCTTCAGCCTACCTTCTCAGACTTGTCACATGATTCCCCTTCACATTCTTTACATTCCAGGCACACTGGACTGCGTTAGCCATTGCCTCAGCTCAACATGTGCTTGGAACACAGTCTCCTTCACCTCTGCCTCCGGGGATCCTTAGTTTCCATCCAAACACAGCCCAGGTGACTTTCCTGGTTCTTCCAACTGTTAGTGTTTTCTCTCTTTCCATCTCTCTCTGTCTCTCCTTAAATTATCTTGTATTTATTGCTTTACCTGGTGTTTCTCCAACAGAATGTAGATTCCTTGCAGGAAGGGGCTATTTTTGTTCTTGAATTTTTTTTTAAGGCAATTAGGATTAAGTGACTTGCCCAGGGTCACACAGCTAGTAAGTGTCAAGTGTTTGGTCTGAGGCCGGATTTGAACTCTGGTCCTCCTGACTTCAGGGCCACTACACCACCTAGCTGCCCCTTGTTTTTGTATTTTTGTCTCAAGTGCCAAAGAGGTAGGGAAGAATAGAGGGATGGCCTTCGAGTCAGGAAGACTGGGGTTCAAGGCCTGTGTCTGATACACCGTAGCTGAATGACACCGGGCAAGTAGTTTAACCTCTCAGTGATGCCAGGCAACTCTCTAAGCCTGTAAGTTAGAGAAGAAGTATAGAGCAGCAAGAGAGTAGGCAATTTCTACACCGGGAGCTCCCCACACCAATGAAATGACAGGTGCAGACTGAACAAACAAACCAACAAAAACCTAGTGCCTGGGCACAGTGCCTTGCACATAACAGACAATTAATATTTATTGAATTCCCACTTTCATCAAGGATACCCTTGATAAGTACAAAGACCATTCTCATAACAATTTCATAGAGATGAGAAAATAGACATAGTAGTCAATAGCTGCTGATGTGCAGGTGCTTTTGGTAACATATCCACTTGTGATCTTGTCTATATTCTACTCCTTGAGATAGATAAAAAATTGATCCTGAATATCTTTAAAATTATACTATTGTTGAGTCATTTCAGTCATGTCTGATTCTTTGTGACCCCATTTGGGGTTTTCTTGGTAAAGATACTAGAGTGGTTTGCTGTTTTCTTCTTCAGCTCATTTTATAGAAACTGAAGCAAACAGGGTTAAATGACTTACCCAGGATCACACAGCTAGGAAGTATTTGAGGCTAGATTTGAACTCAGGTTTTCTTGACTCCGGGCCTGGCACTCTATCTGATGAGGTGCTAATGATGGACTCCTAAAAGGTTCTGGACTTTTCCACGTGGCCCAGTCCCTTGTGTTCTCCTGAGACATCTGGCCTATCCCCAGTATAATCCTTTAACTGCCCTTTCACTGTGGCTCTCTGGCCACTTAATTCCCTCAGTTGTCTGCACCTGGCCCCACCCCTGGCTACTTGCCACTCCTCAATCCCATCCAGATCTTCCCACAGTCTTTCTGAATAAAACTATTCATCTTATCCTCATATCTCACCCACTTCTATTACTGACACAATAAACCTTGTCTCTGAAAGAAGGCTTGATTGGTCGAATTCTTTCGAGACAGACTCCTGCCCGGTACCTTTGCATTTTGGGGTTCCTAGAACCCCTAGACTGCAACATATCCACTGTACCACCTAGCTGCACCTTGGTGTTTAATAAATGTTTATTGATAGATTAATTTATCTGGAGTCAGACTTCTCCCATTATTTCCCCATATTTCATCCCATTACAACTTCTCCCAGTTAGATTTTCTGGCCCCCTCTTCTAGGATGCCAAAGAGTGTAGAGGGCAGAAAAAAGGTGGAACTTTGCACCCAACTGAATTTAGGGGTAATTCCTTATACAATTCCATGGAATGCATAGAATTCCTCTCCTTACCCATGCAGTAGGCTTTGGGTTCTTTTCCTATATGTTAAATATCTCCAACCACAATACTTGACCTTCTATCATTAGGGTCATTTCTTTGCATTTAGGTGGAAAATTGCCCCCCCCCCTTTTTTTGTAAGAATAGAGTGATGATAAGGCAGCCTGGTATAGTTAAAAAGAACAATAGACTGGGAGTCAGAAATCTTGGGTTCTAAAACTGGGGGCTTAGTCACTGAATAATTTTGTGATTATCATCAAATCATTTCCCCTCTCTGGGTCTCTTCCTCATCCACAAAATGGGAACAATAATCTCTGCTCAGCCTACCCCAAAGGGTCATTGTGGGTCTCAAAAAGAGCTAATAGAGGTGGAAGGCCTTATTAAAATGGAGGATCCCAACACATTTAAAGGAAGATGATTACCTTTTATTTTCTAGAAGCTTTAATATCATGAGTGTATGTGTGTCTGTTAACATAGCTTATTGCTGTCCCTGCTGCTTCTCTCCCCTTAGAGAAATCCTGGCAAACTTTGGAAAGGATAAAACAGAGAAGAAGGTGTGTGTGTGTGTGAGTGTGTGTGTGTGTGTGTGTGTGTGTGTGTGTGTGTGTGTGTGTATGAGAGAGAGAGAGAGAGAGAGAGACAGACAGAGAGAGAGACTAGTTTGGAAATCTGCCAGTTGGATTGTTTACAAAGCCTCAGTTAAAACATAGACTCCAAAAAGTCCTTGCTCAAATACATAGGTGTGGATAACAGAAGAATTCACAACTAGGCATGGGACAGAAGCAATTATAAAAGACAAAGTATACAACCATACTTTATATGAAATTGAAAAAAAATTTCATACTAACAACAATAGAAGCATTTTACAAATACTATCTCCTTTGTTCCTCACAACAACCCTGGGAGGTAGGTGCTATATCAATGTAGCACAAATTAGAAAAAAAGATGTAAATTGAGGGGAAATATCTTTGTGTAAAATCGATCTGCTACAAGTTTTACATCCAAAT